TAAAAAGTGGGCAAAGGACATGAATAGACATTTCTCAAAAGAAGACATACAAATGGCCTAACAGGTATATTAAAAAATGCCAACATCACTACCAGAGAAATGCAAATCAAAACCATAATGAGATATCATCTTATCCCAATCAGAATGGCTATTACCAAAAAGACAAAAAAATAACAGATGCTGGTTAAGGATACTGAGAAAAAGGCCAGGCGCAGTGGCTCACGCCTGTAATCCTAGCACTCTGGGAGGCCAAGGCAGGTGGATAGCTCAAGGTCAGGAGTTCGAGACCAGCCTGAGCAAGAGCGAGACCCCGTCTCTACTAAAAAAATAGAAAGAAATGATCGGACAACTAAAAAAATATATATAAAAATTAGCCGGGTACGGTGGCACGTGCCTGTAGTCCCAGCTACTCGGGAGGCTGAGGTAGAAGGATCGTTTGAACCCAGGAGTCTGAGGTGTTGTGAGCTAGGATGCCACGGCACTCTAGCCTGGGCAACAGAGCGAGACTCTGTCTCAAAAAAAAAAAAAAAGGATACTGAGAAAAGGGAACTCTTACACACTGTTGGTGAGAATGTAAATTAGTAGAACCTCTATGGAAAATAGCATGGAGATTTCAAAGAACCAAAAATAAATAGAACTACCATTCAATCCAGCAATCCCACCACTGGGTATTTACCCAGAGGAAAAGAAATCAACATATTAAAAAGATACCTGCACTCATATGTTTACTGCAGCACTATTCATAAGTGCTCATCAATGGATAAATAAAGAAAATGTGGAATATATACACAATGGAATACTATTCAGCTATAAAAAAGAATGAAATCCTCTCTTTTGTGGCAACATGGATGGAATTGAAGGTCATTATCTTAAGTGAATCAAGGCAGGCACAGAAAAACAAAATCTTTTGCATGTTCTCATCTGTAAGTGGGTGCTAAAAAATATGTTCACATAATCATAGAGAGTGGAACAATAGACAATGGAGACTTGGAAGGGTAAGGAGGTAGGGCGGATGATGAGAAAGTGGTTAACGGGTACCCTAAAAGCCCTGGCTTGATCATTATAAAATCTATGCATGTAACAAAATTGCACATGTACCCCGTAAATTTGTACAAATAAAAACAATGAAAAATGGTTATTTGTCCACAAAACAATTAAAAAAAAAATTTTAAAAAGCAGTCATTACTGAGCCAGGAATGGTGACCCACACCTGTAGTTCCAGCTACTCAAGAGGCTGAGGTAGGAGGATCACTTGAGCCCAGGAGTGCAAGACCAGCCTGGGCAACATAGTGAGATCCAGTTTCTTAAAAAAACAAAAAAATGAGCTAATACTTCATACTTGCTGTGTGTGTGTGTGAGAGAGAAAGAGAGAGAGAGAGAGATTTGTCCTATTTAGTGAGAAATAAGACATTAAAATTTTTAAATTATCCCTTCTATTTCTAAATGGCACAGAAAAGGTAAGGCTCACATTTTTGAAGATGCGATTGCTTTGAACAGAATGTTGGGTTTCCAGATAAGTAAAACCTTTTTTTTTTTTGAGACAGAGTCTCACTCTGTTGCCCTAGAGTGAGTGCCGTGGCGTCAGCCTAGCTCACAGTAACCTCAAACTCCTGCGCTCAAGCGATCCTACTGCCTCAGCCTCCCAAGTAGCTGGAACTACAGGCATGTGCCACCATGCCTGGCTAATTTTTTCTATATATATATTTTTAGTTGTCCAGCTAATTTCTTTCTATTTTTTAGTAGAGACAGGGTCTCGCTCTTGCTCAGGCTGGTCTCGAACTCCTAACCTTGAGCGATCCACCCGTCTCGGCCTCCCAGTGCTAGGATTACAGGCGTGAGCCACCGCGCCTGGCCAGTAAAACCTTTTTGAAATCAGAACATAAGCTTTTTTTCCCCCCATGAAAGTAGGGGTATGAGGTGGAGTGTTCAGTTTCCTTTTTGCTGTTATTGTTGTTATTGAGACAGTCGTACTCTGTCTCCCCGGGCAGAGTGCAGTGCCATCACTGTAGCTCACTGCGGCCTCCAATTTCTTGGGCTCATGTGATCATTCTGCCTCAGCCTCCCAAGTAGCTGGGACTACAGGCACCCACCACAATGCCTGGCTGGTTCAGAGCATAAGTTCTTAAGGTCAGTCTAATTCATCCAGCAATGAATAAATATCAAATCACTTTTAATCTTAAACATCATGATTTAAAACATGTGGAGAGGCTAGGCACGATGGCTCATGCCTGTAATCCTAGTACTCTGGGAGGCCAAAGTGGGACGATCACTTTAGGCCAGGAGTTTGAAACCAGCCTGGGCAATAGTGGGACCTCGTCTCTACAAAACATAAAAAAATTAGCCAGGCATGGTGGCACATACCTGTAGTCCCAGCTACTATGGAGGGTGAGGCAGGAGGATCACTTGAGCCCAGGAGTTAGAGGTTGAATTGAACCATGATGCATCTGCACTCTGGGCTGAGTGACACAGCAACACCCTATCTCAATAAAAAAGAAAAAAATAACCTAAAACATGGAGAGAACCTAAAAAATGTTTTTTTAAGATATATATGAAAAAGGATAAAACGAATTAATCATGTGTTTCTAATGGTTAATCACTATTCTGTAAAAAAAAATCCCAAAAATTACCAATAGAAATTCACAACACATCAAGAACAGTCTAACATTATCTTCCCTTCTATAGACTTCCGGATACCATTGTCTACTGAGGGACTCCAACTTAAGCAATACAGAGGCCGGCAATGAGGAAACAAGCTGTGTAGATTAACAGAAACACAATTAAAGCAACTGAGTAAGTCGATTCATCTCACTACACTTTGGTTTTTGTGTATACCTAATAAAAATGCTGCATTAGGGCTGGGCATGGTGGCTCACGCCTGTGATCCTAGCACTTTGGCAGGCCAAGGCAGGAGGATCACCTGAGGGCAGGAATTTGAGACCAGCCTAAGTAAGCAATGTAGAAAGACCCCATCTCTCCAAAAAAACAAGAAATTAGCCCGGCTTGGTGGCACATGCCTGTAGTCCCAGCTACTAAGGAGGATCACTGGAGCCTACGAGTTTGAGGCGCCAGTGAACTATGATAGTGCCACTGCACTACAACCAGGCAACATGCCTGGTGTGGGGGCCCAAGCTTGTAATCCTAACACTCTAGGAGGCTGAGTGAGGCAGGAGGATCACTTGAGCTCAGGAGTTTGACACCAGCCTGAGGAAGAATGAGACCCCATCTCTACTAAAAATAGAAAAATTAGCCTGGTGTGGTGATAGAGGCCAGAGGATTCCTTTAGCCCAAGAGTTTGAGGTTGCAATAAGCCACTGCACTCTGGGGGTGAGGGGAGGGGTGGAATGAGAGCCAGACTCTCAAAAACACACACACACACACACAAAAAAAAGGGCAAGAGAGCTCAAGACTCTGCCTCAAAAAAAAATTCACTTCTCTATTTCTCAATCTGATATACTTCAAAGACTTTTCTATATGAACATAATGCAGCAACATAAACTTACATAAACAATTTTCTAATTTTCTCCCTAACAACGATTTAGTCAAACATTGGGAAATCCATTACATCTTCAAAGTAATAATCCAATCGCAAACTTTAAATATATTATGAAAAGTTATCATTCAACTCCGCACCCTAATATTATTACAAATTTTACTTTACCAACACTGACGTGATGTTTCATGCCCACAAGCTAAATAACAATGCTTCAGACATCTAGTTATCATTACAGAGCAAAAAATAAAACTAGCTTTAACTATAAAAAGGTAACGTGCATACAACCTGTAGTGGTTAAAACAATATAAAATTTTATTTAACCAGATCTTGCATGTCAAACTCTAAGAACATTAACAGTGGAAGCTGCATCTAACAAATTTCCCCATAAAGTATACATTTGTTAAGAGAGGGAACTAACATTCTGACCTCCTTCCAAAATGACAAACTAGAACGGCAAAATTACGCTCAGGCACATGGAGTACTCTTCTCTCAAATCACTCCACAGAGAACATCATTTGCTCCGCCCTCTAATAACTCATGCAAAAAAAGTTCAGCACCATCAGAGAGAAGCAAGACATAGAGAATTCATAGAATGTCTCAGGGCCTTTCCTCCAGGCGATAGGATCTGCGTGTGCCCTTCGCAGGGGTCCAAAGGGAAAGAAAAACCTAGGCCTAGGTTTTGGGGGACACTGACAACCCAGAAACAGATGTTCTCTCAAAGAAGTTTGTGCCGCCATCCCTATTTTATCAGCAGGAGGCTCTGGCGCCATCGCCTCAGTCTTTATGATTTTATTATGGGTAGGTGGGAAACGGCGCCCAGGATTCCTCCAAGCCTCCCCTATTAAGCTTGGGGGTTCCCCCTCATTCTTTTCTCAAAGCCTCAGTCCCTAAGGTACTCCCCAGCACCCCCGTTCTGGCGGCCTATCCCCCGGGATGCGAAAAGGCGCTGCCGAATCCACCAGCCTCGCCGTTAAGGCGGGAGGCCCCAAACTCGCCAGGGCCACAGTGATGGCTCCGAAGGGCCCAGAAAGGAGAAGGGCAGGCCAGGGACGGGGGGAAGAATGACCTGGCCAGGGAATAAAGGGAAAAAGAGGTGAGGAGATGCACTGCACCCCAGGGCTGCACAGAGAAGAGATGAAGATGATGAAGGAGAGAAGGAGGGCGGTGGCCCGGGTGTGGCCCCCCACTCCTCCCGCCCCCAGGTCCCCGGGCCAGCGGAGGCGGACAGGCTCGGCCCATTCCCTGTTCTGGACTGGCAGGAGGTGGGGGGTGGGTCTCCCTCCATACTGTGAGGAGACCGAGAACGAGGGTATGGGAACCGCGGGGGGGCTGTCTCCCGCCTGAACCCAGAGACCCCGACGCCGTCGTCGCCTCTTCCTCAGGAGGGAAGACGGGAGCCGCGGGTAAAGCCCTAGAGAGGAATGTATGCAGGTAAGGGGAAGCCCGGGACAGACCCTCCGCCCGCTCCGGACCCCACTCTCCACCTTCCGGTAACGGCGTCTCTTACCGGTGATGGCGGTGAACTGCTGAATTAACCCCTTCAGCGCCGAGGACGCCGCGGAGCCCCCGTGGGCAGCCATCTTACCGCCGCCGCCGCCGCTGCCGCCGAACAACAACACAGACACACACGGGCCGCCCTCCCCCACCTTGCCGCGCGGTTTGCGCAGGCTCATTGACCGCCCCCAAGCCCCGCCCCCCTGTCCCGAGCGGCCTGCGCAGGCGCACTTCCCCACCGGTCTGGAGCGCTCTCCGCTCTCCGCTCTCCGCTCTAGGGGTTGGCTGTTAGGTTGCTGCCTGCTCCGGGGTATCATTTTTGCATCCACTGGTGCCTTCCTCTCAGAACTCCAAGGCCATCCTCGTAGATGCTGTGTCGATTCCTAGTTTCCCAAGGAAGATTCGGTCTCGGCAGGTAGTAGGTCTTCGCATTTCAGCTTCACAAGCTTGACAGACACGCTGCAGATGACAGTATTTTTTTTTTTTTTTTGCAGCTCCACCGCACTCTACTAGCTTTCCTGCAGCTCCCATCAAAGCACAAATCCTCCATGCTCTGAAGCGACTCGTACTTGCTTCCCAACCCAATCGCTTAGCTAACCTAGTGCGACGACCCATCCAGCACAACTGAAACACCACAGCCCTTCATGCCAAGAAAGCACTGGGCACAGGGTCTGACACATAGTAGGTTTTAATAAACAATTGTTAAGTCTGCTTGGCTTCAATAAATTTATCAACAAGTCTCCCTTCAGGGTCTTACTTAGTTTCCTCACCTATAAAACGAGGAGGTGCTATTTATGTAAAACGAAAATGTGTATATGTATATACAGCAGAGGAAAAAAATATAAAAAGACACTAGAAATGTGTCCTCAAAATGCTGGTAATGGTTACCTCTAGAGAGGAGAGCAATAGGGACGATAGTAAAAGGGGACTCTACTTTGAGTTTGTTTTTTATCTTTTATTATTATTTTTTATTGCAGAATATTATGGGGGTACAAACGTTTTGGTTATATAGATCGCTTTTGTACAGTTTGATTAAAAGTTATCGTACCCGTTAGGTGTGAATTTACCATCCCCATCCCCCCACCCACCTGCTTGATTTCCAATGAGTGTTATTTCCATATGTGCACATAAGTGTTTATCAATTTGTTCCAATTTAGTGGTGACTTCGTGTGGTGTTTGTTTTTCCATTCTTGTGATACTTCACTTAGAAGAATGGTCTCTGGTTCCATCCAGGTTAATTCAAGAGGTATTAGTTCACCAGTTTTTTTTTTATGGCTGAGTAGTACTCCATGGTATACATATACCACCTTTTATTAATCCACTCATGTATTGATGGGCACTTGGGTTGTTTCCACATCTTTGAGATTGTGAATTGTGCTGCTATAACAGGTGCAGGTGTCTTTTTTATAAAATGTCTTTTTTTCCTTTGGGTAAATACCCAGTGGTGGGATTGCTGGATCAAATGGTAGGTCTACTTTTAGTTCTTTGAGGTATCTTCATACTGCTTTCCATAGAGGTTGTACTAGTTTGCAGTCCCACCAACACTGTACAAGTGTTCCTCTTTCTCCACATCCATGCCAGCATTTGCTATTTTGGGACTTTTTTATAAAAGCCATTCTCACTAGAGTTAGGTGATATCTCATTGTGGATTTGATTTGCATTTCCCTGATGATTAGAGATGTTGAGCATTTTTTAATATGTTTGTTGGCCATTAGTCTATTTTCTTTTGAAAAGTTTCTGTTCATGTCTTTTGCCCACATTTTAATGGAGTTGTTTGATTTTTCCTTGCTGAATTGCTTGAGTTCTTTGTAGATTCTGGTTATCGGCCCTTTATCAGATGTATAGCATGCAAATATTTTCTCCCATTCTGTAGGTTGTCTGTTTGCTCTATTGATTGTTTACTTGACTGTGCAGGAGCTTTTTCATTTGATCAGGTCCCATTTGTTTATTTTTGTTGTTGCTGTGATTGCTTTTAGGGTCTTCTTCATAAATTCTTCACCTAGGCCAATGTCTGTAAGAGTTTTTCCAACATTTTCTTCTAGAATTCTTATGGTTTCATGCCTTAGGTTTAAGTCTGTTATCCATTTTGAATTAATTTTTGTGGGTGGTGAGAGGTGCAAATCCTGTTCTACATGTGGCTATGCAATTTTCCCAGCACCATTTATTGAATAGGCGTTCTTTTCCCCAGTGTATGTTTTTGTCTGCTTTGTCAAAGATCAGATGGCAATATGAGGATGATTTTATATCTGGATTCTCTGTCCTGATCCATTGGTCTAGGTCTCTGTTCTTGGGCCAATACCATGCTGTTTTGATTACTATAGCCTTGTAGTTAAGTTTGAAGTCTGGTAAAGTGATGCCTCCTGATTTGCTCTTTTTGCTTAAGGTTGTTTTGGCTACACTGGGTCTTTTCTGATTCCATATGAAGCATAGAATTATTTTTTCCAGTTCTGTGAAAAATGATGTTGGTATTTTAATGGGGATTGCATTGAATCTGTAAATCAGTTGGGGTAGTACAGACATTTTAACAATGTTGATTCTGCCAATCCATGAGCATGATATGTTTTTCCATTTGTTTACCTCCTCTGTGATTTCCTTCCTCAGCATTTCATAGTTCTCCCTGTAGAGGTCGTTCACCTCCTTAGTTAAACCTCCTTCATTAGATATATTCTTAGTTATTTTATTTTCTTTGTTGCTATTGTGAAAGGTATTGAGTCTTTAATTTGATTCTCAGCTTGACTTGTTGGCATACAAGAATGATACTGATTTGTGTACAGTGATTTTGTAACCTGAGATTCTGCTGAATTTATTTATCAATTCCAGTAGTCTCTTGACAGAATCTTTGAGGTTTTCTAGATACAAGATAATATCATCAGCAAAGAACAATAGTTTGACCTCTTCTTTCCCCATTTGAGTACCCTTGATTTCCTTTTCTTGCCTGATTGCTGTGTCTAGGACTTCCAGTTGAAGGGAGTTGAAGGGAGAAGTAGAAGATAGAGGTACATATTAAGGAAACAAAAGCTGGAGTAGTGATATTAATATTAATTTTAAATAAAATAGACTTTAAAGCAAAATGTATCATTGGAGATAAAGAGGGTCACTATAAGCCGGACTCAATGGCTCATGCCTGTAATCCTGGCACTCTGGGAGGCTGAAGAGGGAGGATCGCTTGAGCTCAGGAGTTCAAGATCAGCTTGAGCAACAGCGAGACCCCGTCACTACTAAAAATAGAAAAATTAGCCAGGCGTCGTGATGTGTGCCTGTAGTCCCAGCTACTCGGGAGGCAAAGGCAAAAGGATCGCTTGAGCCCAGCAATTTGAGATTGCTGTGAGCTAGACTGATGCCACGGCACTCCACTCGGGGCAACAGAGTGAGACTCAAAAAAAAAAAAAAAAAGGGTCACTATATAATAATAAAAAGAACAAGTCACCATGAAGAAAGAAATAATTTTAAACCTGTTCGCACCTAATAACATTTATATAATAAATTTATATAAAAAATTAATGATTAAAGAAGAAATTTGACAAATATACAATTATCCAGACAAAAGTAACAAACATATAGAATATATGCATTCTTTGCTTTTTTTCTTTTTTTCCCTGAATACATTCTGCACAGAATATGCATTCTTTTCAAGCACACCTGAAATGTAATAAAACTTGACCACATAAAGACCACAAAGCAAGTCTCAAGGAATGTCAATCATTATTAATAATACCGGGCTGGGCATGTGGCTCATGCCTGTAATCCTAGCTCTCTGGGAGGCCGAGGCAGGTGGATCGCTCAAGGTCAGGAGTTTGAGACTAGCCTGTGCAAGAGCAAGACCCCGTCTCTACTAAAAATAGAAAGAAATTATCTGGACAACTAAAAATATATATATAGAAAAGATTACCCAGGCATGGTGGTGCATGCCTGTAGTCCCAGCTACT